GTTGTGGGGAAGTATCCGTCCCTATACGTATCAAACATGTTAATTAGTACGTAGCTTGTTTAAGGCCAATGAAGTTGCGATGTCACGGACAAGTGTTTAAGCCTTTTCCTTTTATGAATGCCTATAACAGAAAAAAATCATGAAAAATTAAGTAATTATCTTAATTTTCTTTGATTTCTTATTTTCTGTTCTATTTCATTTGCCGATAAAGTTATATTTGTCGAAATATAACCGTTAAGGAAACGGTAAGGGAAACACGCTGATTTAGGAATTTATTGCAATTAATTCGTTAATCTACTTTTCACAGTAATTAGTTCGAAAATCCTACAAAAGATGGATCAAGTTAAAACGGATTTTAAATGTCGCGCGGTGAATTCAAAGCGGCCGCCGCGCTCGGTTGTTCACTTTCCAAGTAACTCACACAAAAAGCTTCTTCTTCATCTTGTCAATGCGTGCCCGTTTATTTGATCATCTATTTCACTCCATATAATTCATGGCAACCCTACCAATGATCATCAAGTCATAGGAGCACGTCAGATGATTGATTAAACTGATTCAAATGACACCAGGCTCACTGCCTCTGTCAGTGTGCCGAACGGTTGCCATGCGGAACTGCCACGAAAAGGTCCCAGGTTCGATTCCCGGGCCGGGAGAAATATTTGTATGGTCTACATTTATTTCTCTCGTGAGCTTGGGTGTAATTTGTGGGTGTGCATGGCACCCATCCCTAGTGCGGGTTGCTATGTTGAGTGTGTGCGTTATTATTATTATTATTATTATTATTATATTAATAGATTTAATTTAACTGCAACCTCAACCAATTTGAGCTGTCAAACTCACGTGACATTTTTAGTTAGTATGTTTCGTAGATAGCTTACTAAGGCGATTAACACACTGCACCGCGTTCAGCTACGGAGCGCGGAATTGTGTATTTTCACGTTGTACTGAAATATCTTAGTTTGTATGGAAAACACGCGCCTTCCAACACACTAACAACGCTTCTCCGCGCGGTTTTACCGCGCCTCCGTGGCGAGAGACGCTGCGAACCGCAGGGTATGACACGCTGCGCTCCGTACTACCGCGCAGAATTTTTAAGCATACGGACGTGTTCAATTTTCTGGAATGGATCTCGGATTCAGTTGACATACGTGTGTAGTTGAAAAATTTATCTTCATATTTTCATAAATCTTTGTAATGAAGTTGAAATGATCCATTTATCGATCTGGTTCGTAAAAAGGGATGTACCCAATATATTCGGTGACTTTTTGTTTGAGTAAACAAAAACCAAATAGAGATTATAACTGCAGCGTCCTGAATGAGTTCTGAATTATTAACCATTCTTGTCAAAGAACGATCTCAGCTACATGTACAATCACTACGGCGATCAACTAAGTGAGTACTTTAAGTGGCGCGGGGCCGCTAGGCCGCTGCCCCCACGCAGATTAATCCGCGCGTTGACGCAGATCTGCGTCTGCGGCACCACGCGCGTGATTCTGCGTCTCGCGCACCGTCGCGTGGCGCGGTGCATTGTGTTAATCGCCTTAATTGGTTCCCTAATAGTTAGAGAACATAATACTAGCTAAGATTCATCTTGTCGTGAAGCACATTAAATAAACAATACCTTACCCTAATTATGTTACAATTATACGATACGTTTGAAGTGACAACTGGCTCCGACTTATTTATGCGCTAATGAAAAGTATTTAATTTTCGATAAATGTTAAATAACCCGTTACAGAATAAATTTAAAAGTCGCGTCCTTATTCCAACCCTGCACTGCTCCCCTATTGAAGGCGAAAATCGATGAAAAAGTGTGACTGTCGCGAAAACTCCCGGAATGTTGGCAATACGCCAGCTTACTCGCCCCATCTCCTCTAACACGAACACCGTGTACACACGATTACATTTCACATGTGTTGACATCAGCCCTACACGTATGTCACACCTGGAGATGGGGTTGGGTTCACGACATCGGCACAATTTTTTTATTACGGGCAAGTATTAGACCACATTCTCGGCTGACCTGGAGATAGCGTAAGCCAGTATTACACGGGTCAAATTATTTTTTTTATTAACGGCAATTATTTGACCACAAGCTAGCCTGACGTCGGGATGGGGTAAGCTACTACAATTTGCCAAATACCTACTTAACGTTAATTATATGTTAATTAATGATATGGCTTTTTTATAGGCAAATATTTTACCACAAACTCGCCTACCTAGCCGCGTAATGTGAAAGACAGCCCGATGGCCGATGACATGATATTCTGCCAATCCGGCTCAGTATTACCATTTAAACCACTATTTCTGCATCTGACAATCTTTTGACAGATAACTGGCCGCTATGTTTTTTAAGTTGTCGCGGATCGAGCATGTTGTTAAAGATTTATTCACTTTCACAGATCCATAAATACATCATATTTCTATATTACCTTAGTTAAGTAATACAAATAAATATATACTATTATAGTCTCTCACTGAGGCAGGCAGAGACGGTGGTACCTTTACTTGTAGATTTTTGACTTAACACCTTCGCTACCTCCACTCCTTTATTCATACACGCCCGACTATTCTTGTTATTTTTCACCTGACCTGTTCTCAGGTAAATAATACAAAATCTCTCTCTCTCTCATCTCAGCGTTGTCCCGGTTGCGTCCTCAGCAGTCCTCAGGTAAGTAATACAAAATAATAAAATATAATAATAAATAATAATACAATACAGTCCACTTTTATTTCACGTCCCTTAGGACCCTAACAATAATAATAATAATAAAGGTAACAAGGACAAATAAATAAAATATAAGAATTAACAACTGTATAAATGATAGGCTATTTTTAAATACTTTACTACATTTACATAGCGTTCAAAATTGTAGTTTCAAAAAGTGACACTGAAGCTTGACCTGGGGCTGAGTAAGAATATACTCCACATCGGCACTCTAAAATCCTTTCACATTGGACAGAATGAATTTAACAGATGAATTTCACAGGAATTCGCACCCTTGGGGTAACAAGGCCACATCTGCAAAATTACTACTATTCAAAAGAGAGGTTTGAAGATTCTACCAACGAAATTAATCAATAACTTTTTATGCTTTAATATTAGTGTCATAAAATTTCACATACATATACATAAATTGTGTCTATTTTTATGACTTTTTTGAGCTAGTGACTTTATTATACCAATGGTGATAATTTACTCTAGGTTTATGTTGCTTTGCCCCTTTTCCAAAACTGTCGTAAATTGTATTAAAATCCTGCTAAAACATTTAATAGTATTATTATTTTTTTAGGTTGATCATTTGCCTAATTTGTAAATGTATAAATAAAAAAGCTTTGAAGAAGTTTTCTCCAAAACCGTACAAAATTGGCAAACGGGAGTTTGCATCCTGCGTTTGGCAAATTAAACCACGTTCTCTCGAAATGTCGGTTCTGAATAAGATTTAGAACATTGTGTAATATAAAACAACTTTTTGAAAGTTCAGAAAAGCATCTAATTCATCGGGCAGATGGCTTAAAAAGCTGAGGAGCGTCTGCCAGCCAAAATTAACGAATCATAGACGAAACATAGAGAAGTTTGAAACCCAATTATTATAAAATTTGGCATTTCCTGGATAAATCTCAGTGATAAACAAAAAAGGCTCAATTTTGGTTTAAGCCACTAATCTTGAAAAGGGTTAGGCGATACGAAAGCGATAGGCTAATTAGCTTGACACGTAACTTTTAAAAACATTCCAAGGTCCAAAGAGTCAAAATTACGTGGTTTCTTTTTTACTGCATCGTGGATCATAGACAAAGGTAAAAATAGTAACCACTCACAGTAGCAGTAGAGAGAGCTGCATGTGAAAGAGTTCGTCCAGGAAAGCATTGCCACCTTACCTATTTCTACCGCCAATTAATAATGTAAGCATTCTGCGCTCTGGTTTTGGAGGGTGAAGATGCTGAGGGAATTACAGGCACAGGACTTGTCAACTTATGTCTCAAAATGAAGAGCGCAGTAGCAGTGCCCCTCAGATATTTAAGATATAAAGTTCTGTGTATGCAACTGCTATGGACAGGTATTATATGTCGCTTACCTGCCACTAGGTGCACGACTTGTTCATCCCGTCACTATATCATAAAAAGGTATCATAAAAAAAACTTACAAACTAGAAGAAAACTCTATATTGACTATCGTACCTTAACGTTATTTAGACGTTCAAATGTGCAGTTTAGTAAAATGAGTTTAGAAACGGGTATACGTCAACCCATAAAGGGTATAACTTTAAAAGTTAATTCTAAAAGTCTAGTAAATTCCCTAACTCAACGAACAATTAAAATAAATTGCGGCAATTGTATTTATGAGCGGTGTTTTACGAGTATTTGGTTGATAAAAAGTAAACAAATACTTGAAACATGGGACATAAAGTCTTTATTTAATTTACGAAGTCCTCTAAAAAATACTATATCTAGATATAGATAGATTGGTAAGTAATGAAACTACCCACATGCGGTAATAATTCCAACCATTTTGCGCTTTCAGCAAGGTCAAGGTTACTCAAAATGTCGCATCTCGTCCGCACAGTAAGCCGGACGCCGGTAAAACTTGTACAAAAAAATACCCTTACATTTTTTTTTCAAATAATTTTCGGTTATTTATAAAGAATTCCAAAAATATCATCAAGGATTAAATCCAATGTTTCTGGGGATATTTAAAAACAGAAACACATGGTTCGGTACATGCGCACTAGCGGCCCGGCGAGTCAATATCCTCCCACCCCAACTCCGCCGCGCCGCCATGACGCTGCTCCTTTTTAAGCGTCAATGCCGCAAGTGGGTAAACCCGTATTTGTTGTTTTTCAAATTAACTTCATACTAAATGTGGATACCTACTTATATACATAGTTATACATAACCGTGCACATATTTGAATATTTCTTTATTGCATTAAGACATCTTGTTATAACCTAACTTTTAAATCAAAAATCTTTCTCTAAAACGTTACTATAACAAGTAGAAACGGCCCTGGAATTTTACTGGTATTTTTTACTTCTTAACTTATTAGAGACAATTGCAACTGTTTCGAATTCAGAGTTGAAATTATCACCTCTGTAGGAAAACTTCAGTTAACATTATTTTAATTCAAGAATCATAAACATCAAATACATGACAACTGCAAAGTAAAGAATAAACTATGTGAAAGTAAAGAAGAAATTCTATAACCTGATTCGTTACACAAGTTATTAAAATTGTGTGGACAGCTGATGGCAGGTAGCGAAACGCGCTAAGCGTAAGTTATAACTGTTTCTCTGTGCGTTGTTTAGTTGCAAGTTCGTCCGCAAGAGGTGCGGCGATCGGACCAGCTGGCTGGTTTGACAGTACTCGCAGCACGGCGACGGGCCCGGGCGCCGGCGACCGGCGCATTCCACACTCACGTGTTCACATCAAATGATAATACAATTTCAACCTCGCGTCTTCATTAACAACTTTTGCAACAACTCGTGAAAGTGACAATTAGATATCAACCGTGAGCGCAACAAAAGGATTTAAGAATTCCAACTTACTGCTTGTGTTTTTTAATACTAAAATAATAGTTCAGTTCCGTTTGTGTTGTGTGAAAAGTAATAGTCGTATTGTGTGCGTGCGAGAACCGTTTTGTGATATTTTTGGTTTGTTTTTTTGGTATTGTTCCACTGTGCAAGGATTCTGGAATTTGGTGCATATTAAAGGCGTAAGTAATTTTTTTTCATACGTATTAAAAAGACACGTAATAAACACTTAAATAATAAACAATGGAAATAAAAACTTTAGGAGCCTCTCAAACTCGTTTTAAACACAATTGTAAACTTAAAAGATTTATAACTTACTGCACACGTTTTTGAACGGTGAGCTTATGAATAGATACATAATTTAAACACAAAATTGTAATAAATATATAGATATTTGTAATGAAATCCAATGGACCTATTCCTGTTTTCAATTCGGCTAAAATGTTCGAATGAAATTCCTAAACTCAACGTTAAGCAAGAGACAAATGTTAAACAATTTAGTTCATCTTAGAGGGTCAGTAGGGACGGTCAGTACGACCTCATAAACATCGCGTGACCTGCAAAATCCTCTTGCATCTTGAACATTGTCTTGTGTTAAATTATATTATTCAACTACTTTACGCAGATAAGCCAGACGTATTCGAGTAACGTTCGTTTGAAATCTTATTCTATAAAGAACATAATACACTTTGATCTTTTGGAAAGGGTAAATCATGGTTCTGACCACAGACACTGTCTATGGTTCTGACTAATAAAATTCTCATATTGATGAATATTGTTATCATATTTATATGAATATGTGCAACAGTGGTACGCGTTTTATTTTGGAAATTTTTACATTATGAAAAGGTTGTAATTTTGATTTTATGCTCATTGTATATTACTTGCTTCCCGGTCACGATACGCACCTCGGCGTTTTTGCTCGCAAAGTACGGTGAGTTGAGGTAAATCTAGCACAAAATCAACATGTCAGTATGTCAAGTCATTTACGTCCCAGTTCTGAGCAGGCGTAACTTATCGGCATTTTTTACAAAAGAAGTTTGGCATTTTTGCATAGGTGCCCGACAATGGAGTGGCAAGTGGCTCATGTGGTATGCGTTTTTAAACACGCACACACATACACAAACACAATATATTGTATTCGTAAATTCATGTTGTGTTTTTACGATATAAATTGCGTTATTTTTTTTGTGGTACCAAGTGACGGGACGAACTAGCCGTGTGCCTGATGGTAAGCGACACGCCTGTTCATAGTAGTTGCAATGCCACTCAGAGCTTTAAATCGCAAAGATCTGAGAGACACTGCTACTGCGCCTGTCAACCTAAAATATTAATTGACAAGTCTC